AGGGTACCGGAGCGGTAGCGGTGCGGCTACTCCGAGGTAGTGTTGACAAGGTCCCCATTCTCGTCCTCAAAACGTTTTCTGAAGAGGATGATTTGACGAACGATGCGATCACTGATGACTGCCATTGTTTGTGATCATTGACATTGAAGGGTCATTTGAATGCCTCCGCTGTCTTGATTGCGTGGTAAAAACACTTGTTACTGTTGAGCATAACGCAGGTTGACTTTTATCTGGGTCACCCTGTGTAAACGGGAGTTTAATACAGAGACAGTTTGTTTGCTTTTTGTCTCTCTATGACTTTGCAACCCTGGTACTGTGTATTGTGGATGGAAAAGACAGGACGCTTTCCACCATTACGCTGGAATGACTGAGGATCATAAAATACACAAACCGCTGTCCGCATTTATGATATAAGGACTGCCTCCTTAGTACTCTTTCCATCTGCTGAATCATAATTCGTTTCGGTGCGTGCGGCTACTATTAGTACGTGCTTGGCGGTCAATTTGAACCCCAAAGATTTTTCCGAAATGATTTTCCGATTTTTTTGCATAGCCGCCAAATTTTGCTGCCAAATTTTGCTGCCAAATTTTGCATCTATCCAAATTTTGCACAGCTGTAGAATATTGAATAGTGTGTCGATAGATGTCAAAAATTTATTTGCACCATGTAGGACCGCTGACATGCGGCACGTCAAAGTCAGGCAATGGATTCAGCGAACATAGTTTATGGGGCATTGTGTAATCTGATGCAACAAGGGAGTTTTAGACGAAACCATATATCTCTGAGATGGTTTCTCAGGACAACGCGAGCATTGAATTAACAACCTCAATTGACATAGAGTCAAGGGTTAAGGTCAGACCAAGGTCAAAACCAACCTGCCTTGTTACATCTCGGGCTTGCTGCATGGGGTAGATTCTGGTGTTCATTTTTAAGTTTTGGGCAACATAAACGCATTATGTATCTTCCATGGACTAAACAAAGGTCAGAATAGGTCAGTGACCTAAAATGACGCATGTAAATAGTTCGTTGTTAGAAACATACTGCCTAGCGTAATCCTTGGCGCCACCGAAATTAAAAATCAAAGCAGTCTCGTATAATTTTGGTCACCATGTCCTTGAAAAGGTCAAGCAAGGTCACTGCATTGAATGAGCATCACTGGCCCTGTGCTTAGAACAGGTATCTAGATTCACGGTGGTTGCATGGGAGGGTCTGGGGACACTTAAGACGCCAATCCGAAGCTTGATCTTCTTTGACCTTATTTGACCCAAAGTTGATTATCTAGGAATGCCAAATTTAGACACAAGTGAGTTCATGCACAAATTAACACACTCGGTGAATTTGATATTTTTAGCTCTCTTAGTTTGTAAGATCTCAGCAGGTCAAATTTACCCTCAACCGAACAAAGAGCATTCAAACCGGCTACCCCCGTGCGTGTTAAAAAACCCGAACATTCTAATTAAATGCGCTTCTGAAATGGGCACCCATGATGAGCAGCACATTTTTCGTGAGCCCTGAATTCACCATCCGATCGTAAAATTCGGCGAATAAGTTTGCGACGAAAGCTTTAGGTAAAGGAATGCTAACACTACTCGTGCTGCTCTCAGACATCACGTGCTCGTTAGTGCGGCCACAGGCCGTTCCAGTCGGGGGCAAATAGCTTTTAGGGTCTTCTCAATCGAACGAATGCTGGATGAATAATGTCGCCTAACCGAAATCGAACTACCTACGCTACTCTCGCGTATACCAAAGGTTGGCTATTTTCAACACAAAAGCTTCCAAATCCATAACTACAAAGCACCAAGAGTGCAAGGATCTTGGTGCTTTTGTTACTTCTAACACATTTCAAAAAGTTCGCCGCACTACTTTTTCCAAAAATCATCCTGGTGACCTTACAGTCACCGGCCTTACCCTCTACGTTTTGTTATAATTATTTGCATGCTCGATGAGAAGGCCGTACCGTTCAGTTTCATTCCCGAGATATGCGCATTCCGGCAGTGTACACGATTTTTATCGCCTGTCATCCGCTCGTATCAGGAAACACCGTTCTGCATATGCCGGATTTTTGCGCCTCAGGCCACCTTTGATAAAGTAAAAACGACACCTATTTTCGTTGATCGCAGCCGGTCAATGTACTAAGGCTTTGTTCTTTGAATTACACTCACTGTAAGGTTTCACAAAAATGCAGTTTCACATTGGCTTCGCGTTGGAAATCATTCCTTAGCATCAAAACAATTTCAAAGCCGCGCAAACTGCGTTTTTAGAATAACCACACCAGAAACGCAGCGTGGTACCAAAATTCGGACAAAAACAAGAATTTAGGAGTTCATCAGGATTACAGCGTAGGTTGACCTATGTTACCTAAACTTGATCGGCTCAACCCCGCAACCAGTTTCAGATGGTGAGATCCCTGCATGGAACCGTAGGTTTTTCACTGACCACGTTACTAGCAACAAAAGAAAGAATGTCAACACCACTCCCCCGGCCGGCTGGCCCACTTTTCAAAGAAAATCGACCCGGAAAGAAGGGCCAACGGAGGACACAAAAAGGGCTGGGACCGGTAACAGGACACTGGACTCTGGATTCTTGGAAACTGCTGCCCACTATGCACCATGTAGTTTCTTCCGCTACTAAGCAAATGCCGGCCCTCTCCCCTTTACCCCGAACCCGGAGCAAAGCCTGGTGCTCAGCCTGCCTCACTTCATAAGAATGCCCAGAGGTGCCACCCTGCAGTAAAAGTAAAAGCGGTGCCCACCCTACCTCCGCCTCCCGCCCTCCCCGCCAGCCAGATAATGCCAACTGTCAGGACCCGCCAGGACCCGGTCCGATAAATGTTTCGTAATTTTAGCTGTAAAATACATCCGAAAGGCGAATGTGACAAGCTTCACCTTGAACAAAAGAATCTTGTGCACAAACTCCCCCGGTATACCGAAAGAGCGATAAAAAATGGATGGGAGAGGGGAAGATGGCCTTCGCCGGAAACGTAGCATGCGTCCGCATGATAAATAGGAAGACCGATTTGTTGGTGTAGTTTTTTCTCGCGTTGCGCAAAAATACTTGATTTTCCATTGTACTTGTGTTACAGTGGCATGGGTTCAACGTCAATGTGGTCATTTGAGAATACATGGTGGTGGAAAACACAACTATTCTGTCTCGTTTCAGCCCGAATTGTGGGAAACACATTGTCTAGCTTTGGTGACTTGACTCTTTTTTGCACGCCAATCGAGTTATCGGTCTGCTGGAAGGTTATGGGTCGTGATCATGTGCGTCCTGGTAATCATTCCACGAGAATATGAGACTGACCACGTGGTACTGATAACTATTTTTGCTCGTATCGGAGCGCGTGCCTGGCAGCTGTGTTGCATCCTTGGACTGACAATGACCTGAAATGTCACTGACACAAATAGTATTTACTGGCCAATATTGTTCAAAATATTAAGACGTTCTGTTGCATAGTCTTCTTGCCATACTTTAGGTGCTGTTTTTTATTTCCAAGTCTGGGTGGTTTTCTGAGGTCGAGCAGAAATTGTCAACCAGACTGTTATTCAATGTGTATCATCTATGGTCTGTTGGCTCTGGTTCACCGTAGCTTTCATTCAGAAAATCTTAAAATTGTCAGGTACGCAAGAGGCTCCTGTTTAAAAATTGTAAGGTACGCAAGAGGCTCATGTTTTTAAAAAAAATTGTATGGTGCGCAAGAGGCTCCTCTTAAAACAAAATGCATACTAGTGTCTTTGTACACAATTTCCTGCCGCATTTAATTATTGGTGTTGGATATGTTGCTGTCATTTTTGCGGCTAAAATATGGTGTACGCACGGAATAACCTTGGTAATTCGTTAAATCTTGTATCCTCTGTGTAACCTGCGTGAATTTTTAGGCCATTTCCATAAATGGCCTGCAGGAATGCTACGGCAGGTGGATGTTTACGTCATGGTGCTTATGCTTTGAGGTGTTTGTGCTAGTCGGAGGGTGCTAAAAACGGCTCCTGCTTGTATCTGAATGCGGTTAGATAATTATGTGGCGACTCTGGACTTCAAATTGCTTTTAAATATCACCTTCGCGTTATATTTATGGTGCCACGTGGGAATGAATGACTGGAAGTGACTCTGAGCTACGACCCCCTTCCAATTCTGAATAATTTCCCTCACGGCTGATTTTAAGGAGTGTGTTCGCGGAAAGAAAGCAGTCAAATTGGATTTTTAAAAATGATGGAAGGGGTCATGGCAATGAATGGCTGAGACCATAAACATCAGCCTATTGCTACCTGAGATTGCTTGTCTTGAGCAATGATGCGATTACGTTGAATCCTGTATACCAGGGTTCATCATATGAAGTATGCAACTCAGGCACTCGGTACCTTACAAATACAGAAAGATAAATGCTTAACATCTTCAAATAAATGCACTATTGAATGCAGCATTATATGAATTAACGCGAAAGATCTTACGGTCTGAATTCATTAGAAAAGTTCTTATTTGCATCGGGCTAAAATTGCATCAGCTTGGAAGGAATTCATGAATATGGATTGGATCCAGACGCTGCCTGGCCGGACGCAAATTTGGTTATAGATGTTACCAATTGGGAAAGTTTCAAAAATGTTCTGGTGATGCACTGGATGAGTTCGATTTATGAATTGACTGATTCAAACGGATCTGGTGCGATTACACAATTGAGTGATTCTGGAATGCCTGAATGTGCTAATCCTGGCTAGATTCGTCATTTCTGGTTCGCCTGGACCGTTGAATAGAAACCGAAAGCTTCCAGTCTCCAAGAACTGAGCGTCCATCGACCCTCCACGACAAATCACACCCAGCACACGTCCCGCCGCGCCGGCGGTGCAGGGCGCCGTGTTTCGCGGGCGGCGCCCGCCGCTTCGACGAACGATGACGGCTGCTAGGCAGCGGGAGTACACAAACCTCGCTGCCGCGTCACGGCCGCGGCGGCCGCCGGCGTTAAAAGGGCGCCGCGCCGCCGTCGGCACCGTCACTCCCCAGTCGTCACCATGCGCGCCACCACCGTCCTGCTGCTGGCCTGCCTAGCGCTGCTCTTGCTGAGCACCACCGATGCCCGAGTGAGTGGCCGGGTCTGGGGCGAGGGCCCGGAAAAGTTTGGGCGCATGGAGACGGGCGCAGGTGCCTTTGTGGAGTACGGGCGTTGTGAGATCGGAGGTTTGCGACCGGGTTCTTTGGGGGGGGGGGGGGGGGGGTCAGAGATGTGAGCCACTGCCAGTTAAGTTCAAATGACAATGTCGGTTGCTGAGTGTTCCGTCAGCAGCTTTGTGGCGGTTGCAATAGTTGCCAGGTTTTGAAGTCATGTTAATTTCGATTTCACTTGGTTCATGGAGTAGCATTGTGGATGTTTACAGAAGCCGACGTTGTGTTCAAGAGATTTTGTTAGGACTATATTCGGTTCTAGCCGATTTTTAACACCTTTGTGCATGAAAAAATGTCGAAAAATGCCAAATGCGCCATGTCGCGCGGCGCATTTTACTTGCTGTTCGCATTTAGTTTGCTGATACTTTGGTTTATCTCTACGACTACATAATGTCTTTCGGTGCTGCTGAGTGTATCACCAACGGTGAGCCCGCCGTGCCCTCCAGCGTCGTGGCAGGAGTGGCAGACCAGGCGGCGGCCGCCGCGGCGGCGGCGGTCGGGGCCCACCGGCAGACCAGGGCCAGCTGGAGGCTGATGGCGGCAGCTCGAGTCTCGAGAGCGGCAGCGACTCCTCAGAGGAGGACGAGGAGGGCGGCACTGATCTCGGCCCGCCCGGCGCCGGTGGGCCGCCAGGGGGGCGCGGCCGAGGCTGGTGCGGACGGCGACGCCAGCCCGCTGACCGGCGGACGTGGCGGAGGACGTGGCGGCCAGCGCCGGGCCGGGCGGGGCGGACGCAAGGGCGGCAGAGGCAAGAAGCGCCGCGGCGGCTCCGGGACGGGTGAGGAGAACGGCGCCGGCGGCGAGGGCGGTGCAGCCGGAGGCGAGGGCCCGCCGCCCGCCCCGGGTGGAGCCGAGGAGGCCGACAACGCTGACGGCAACGCCGAGCCCTAGACACCATCGCTAACCGCTGACTTAACCCAGACAGACCGGACCGTGCGACCGCAATAACGCCGCCTCACCGCGCCCGCCCCAGCAGCGTGAAGCACAGCGCGCATTCTGCTCGATGCGATGCATGCAGTGCGTCCCGCTGCTGGTGCTCTCGGGCTCGGGAGTATTCCCCGAATATCATTCTTGCACTCTAATAGTTCGTACTGGTAACGATTCAAAAATGTTCGGTAATATTGCTATGAGGACGCACTAGCTGGGTGCCCAGCTAGCATGATGGTTAACATGCATGAATTGCAGATCATTAACTTCCGACAGTACATACGCTACACGTGGCCTTTTCGATGTCGTAAAACGCTGTCGGAATAATGCGTATTGTGGATTGCGTTGTTCGTCTGTGTGTTTTCCTAATGTTTACTAGCTTGTGCTCTTAAAATTCAATAAATAACCATGCCAGAATAAAAGCAACACACACAGCGATGGTTTATTCCGGACAATGACCATTTTATGTCAAAATGACGTCATGAACATCATAACAAGTATCAGCTTTGGAGGTTCTGTCGTCTCTTGGTACCGATGGGCATTCCGTGTCCCTGGCGACCTCCTGGTACCGCGGGGGCTGCCGGAAACAACGGAAGGGCACTTGACTAATCTACCCAATGGGCAAAATATACATTAAATGACGTATTGGAAAACAGTCGCAGTTGCTATTTGGACCCAATTGGCATGGGGAAATGGCCGCCATTAGTTTCGACCATTTCGACCATGTGTCTGGGTGTGGCCGGGATGATTCCACAATGCTGCTGTTGAAGCGGATATGTCGACGGGGCTGTTAACTAAGTTTGCTGTGTGCGCTCAGTGAGTATGGCCTGAGTATTTTTTAGCACCCTCCGACTAGCACAAACACCTCAAAGCATAAGCACCATGACGTAAACATCCATCTCCTGTAGCATTCCTGCAGGCCATTTATTGAAATGGCCTAAAAATTCAAGCAGCTTACACAGAGGATACAATATTACTCACCATAGTTCATGGCCGTACGAATCAGAGCACATCGCAGCAATAGCTGTTTCAGGCTAAACCTGCTATTATTCAGTTGATATAATAATATAACGCATGTTCATTAAGTGAAAAACATAACCAAAAAGTAAAGTATACCCTAGCACGAGAAAAGAAGAAACAATGGAGTATAAGTCCCACATAATATAAGATTTAGTGTGGCAGAATAACAATCGATGCACTGGGTCGATGCAATGTTGCAAACGAAAACTCAAAATTTTACCGATAAGTTTTGTGATGTTCATTTTCACAGCACCACCGGTGAGTGGGACTCACACAGGAACGAGGGCTGTTGTTGCATGATTTTAAGTTACGGTGCATGTTTTTAATTTATAGTACATAATTTTAATATATAGTACATGATTTTAATGCGGATCGTGCGTGCAGCATTGCTGAAAACAAATACATTTGTGATTTAAATGCAATGTTCCACCTTTGGGTGCATCTCAAAGGCATATTGTGCTGAAACCTCGAAACCAGTTGCATCTAATAATATCATTGGCTAGCGCCACTACACACCATAAAGATAAAATGACGAGATCGATCTTTTCAATTTTTAGCTCAAGTTACGCTGTCAGCGTGTTATCACAGCACTACACTTCTTTCTTTCTCAGTAGCCCCAGAGTGAGAACTTGCTAAGAACCGTCGTCATCTGTTACGGACTAAATGCATCCCTCTTGAGCTGTTGTAATCCGTACATTGCGCACCGGCCGGCTTTAAAGTAGCACCTCTGCTGATAGGAATGGCATCAATATCAGCGAAGGTTTGGGATTGTCATAGAGGGTAGTGAAGACCATGTATCGAGAAGCACATTAGTTGAACTTTAAACCAGTGCCTGCGATGCCTGTGTTTGCCGAAGCCAAAACGCGCTTCGAAAAGAGCCATTATGTTAAACGCCACAGGGGTGAAATGAAAGCCATGACACGACGCTTCGTTGAGCTTGCGTGGTAATGGGCTCATGTTTGTGCATCTTTTTCCTTTAATACGGTGTTTCAAGGCTTCTTAGCATTTATCGCAACGGTTTTGACCACTTAGTGCATTGAAGGCATTACAGAACACACACGCAAAAAGCAAGGGAAATGGAAAGCAATATCTTCGTAGTGATGAACAGGAAATCCGATGAGATTTCTCATGCCGGAGAGCTATTTAAACAGAAACTCCGCGTTATGAAGGATTTTGAAAACAGGCGTTTCTGATCGAATCGGACGCATCTGATCTAATCATAATTGAAAAGCAAAAAAGGTGGCAATTTCCCGTTAGGGCATCGTTTCCTAGCCAACGACGAACATTTCTAGATATGTGGGTTACGCTGCACAGGGCGTCACACATCCCTCGCCGCGCACTTGCAACTGCGCTGGCACCAGTGCCAGTGACGTTTTCGGAAAGTTCTTGTTCAAAGTCCCATCCAAAGCTCGCTAGTGGTTCAGCTGTCCGTCCAAAAGTGTCCGAAAATGGGGTTGTCCAAAAATTTCCAGCCTCAAAACCTTGATGATGTCGCAAAGGCGGCAACCGAAAAACGAAGATCCAAAATTGGTACTAACTGCGAATGTTCCATAGCGTTAGGAATACGTCGCGGTGTAGGCGACGAGGACTCCTATCGCTTGTTTCAAAAAAGTATTATTTGCTGGTGTGCTCTGCCAATAGGTTGTTTATGTTCCAGACTCAGCTTATTTTAAAAACGAGCAGCACTAAATAAGTTGTGATGCATACCAGTATGAGACCCAACATATATCATATATCGGTTGTATGAAAATTTCAAATATTTTGCGCCCGCCCATTCAATTTGGCAATTAAACTTTGGAAGCTTTAGAATTTCAAAAATTTGGAATACAAGCGGCACGTTTAGTTATCGCCCGGAAGTAGCGGCGTCAGCCAAGAGTGCAAACTGGACCTCCACGTGCATGTTAATTACCCTCCCCATGGGGCAACTGCTTCCTCCACCAAAAATATGGCAAGCAAAGAAGTGATCAAACAGTGTGACCTGGGTAAAGTTTTACGAATGGCTCGGGTCTTGACACCTGAGCGTTTTGATCTGCAGTTGATATCGTGCAACGGTCACGCTCCCGCCGCCGACGAGGTCGCTACGAACGGTTGCCTTAGTTCGTCTGCCCACAGTCGGTGATATTTTACGGTCCTGGACTTTGTGCCAACATCGCCGATGGCGATCAATGGCCAGGTCCTCCCATCGATGGCGATCAATGGCCAGGTCCTCCCACGTTTCATGTTAGACTGCGGCACATATTCGCGCTAATGGCGATAGTGGTTTGTAATACCTTGATGAGTCGTCCACTGACCGGAAATATGGCGCTTGTGCATGTTATCGGACATATGCTAAAAGTGGGAAGGGTTAGAGTGCGGTTTTTAAAGTCCAAGAACACTACAAAATTCGCCACAAAATGTGCGCAACGCAGCAATGTGCGAACACGACGATGTATCTGAATGTAATCTGGACGTGTGTTTTATAAACATGTGGATTGAGTTTTATAATCCTTTGCAAGTGGAGCTGATCATGCACAATTTTCTGCAATCACTCAATTTCTGCAATCACATTTTCACTGCTGATCAATATATTTTACCGACTCAGCCGCGGATATTCATTTAGACAAAATACTGCTGGAATTGGTACAAACTCTCAGACTGCAGATGTCGCTGTACAAACCTTAGAACTACATATAGTACCGTTTGATGATAACTGATATTTGCAGTGAAGTGGCGTATTTCCGAAAAGTTTCGATGTTGATAACAGCGAAGGTCGTAGATGGTGGCCTTTTATCGCTGCTGTGCCGAATAAACGCTGTGATTGTTCCCTCATGGTCTTCTTCTCCATTGTCATAACTCAAGTATGGTGGCAAGGATGACAATAGATCTATATCCATGATCCGTCAGAGTGATATCTGGTAAAAATCATACCACATGTGAGCCTGGAATAATTTGTAAGACATTGGTCGTTGCGAAACTTCTGTCCTCTATCTGC